GAGCTGAGTCAGGAGAGGGTTGGGGGGGGGGGTTAGGGGAAGGGTCTGCTCCAGAGAGCAGTGGGCATGGAGCAGCTCCCCAGGACAGCAAGATGAAAAACTTAATATGAGCCAGCAGTGTGCTCTTGCAGCTCGGAAGGCAAATGGAATCCTGGGATCCATCAAAAGAGGGGTGGCCAGCAGGGACAGGGAGGTGATTGTTCCCCTCTACTCTGTGCTTTTGAGGCCCCATCCAGAGTACTGTGTCCAAGTGTTGAGCTCCCAGTACAAGAAACAGGGAACTGTTGCAGAGGGTCCAGAGGAGCCACAAAGATGATCAGGGGACTGGAGCACCTCCACTATGAGGACAGGCTGAAGGAGCTGGGCTTGTTCAGCCTGGAGAAGAGAAGGCTGCGGGGTGACCTCATTGCAGCCTTTCAGTACCTAAAGGGAGCCTACAAACAGGAGGGGAATCAACTCTTTGAAAGGGTGAGTGACAGCAGGACAAGGGGAAATGGTTTTAAGTTGAGGGAAGGGAGATTGAGGTTGGACATCAGGGGGAAATTCTTTACAGAGAGACTGGTGAGGTACTCTGCCCAGAGAGGCTGTGGATGCCCCGTCCCTGGAGGTGTTCAAGGCCAGGTTGGATGGGGCCCTGGGCAGCCTGGTCTAGCATTAGGTGGGAAGTTTGGTGGCCCTGCACGTGGCAGGGGGGTTGGAGATTCATGATGTTTGAGGTCCCTTCCAACCCTGGCAATTCTGTGATTCTGTATGGATGGAGATCAAGAAGCATCTGGACAACATTCTGAGTGATATGGCCTGCTTTTTGGGTGGTCCTGTTCCAAGAGATGGACTTAATGATCCTTGTGAGTCCCTTCCAATTTGGGATATTCAATGATTCTACAACCTAGTCCCAGTTTCCTGCTTTGCGCTGGTTGTCCTACCAGTCTCCAATGAAGGTCACAAGCAGGGCAGCAACGGTCCTGACAAGCTGGTCATCCCAATGGAGAGGTGTTCAGAAGGGCAATGAGCATCCTCCAAGAGCATCCTCCACAGCAGGGCTTGGCTTGAGTGCTCCTACCAAGCTGGGTCCCAGGCAACCAACAGGCACAGCAAGACAAACCAAGGGGAGGTTTACTGCACAGTTCTTCAACTCCAGGGCACACAGATGCCCTTCTCCAGCTCCTCAGGCAGGACAAGGGCACCTCCTGTCCAGGCCAACAAAGGAGCACCTGCAACCTAGCTTTGGCATGCAGAGGAGGTGCCCCACACTCAGGGCACAGCTGATACACATATAAGCATGATGCCCCTTTTCACCCCACCCCTAAAAAAAGACAACCAAGAAAAAAAAAATCAATTGAGATATGAGCTACGTTTCATTTCTGAGACCCACGATTGCTGCTTGCAGGAAAACATAAATAATTAAATGAGAGAATCGTCATTCAGCCCAACTTTTACCTGGTCTAAAATTTAAAATTAAAAAAAATGACCATTTTGAAGACAAAAAAATTGGCAGGCACTTAATCTTTATTTTGCACCGCTGTCTTTTCCCCTGCTTTGAGAAAATCTGCTTCCACATGTAACCAAGCAATTATGTTTGAAGAGCATTAGCCATCCTAATGAATGGTGATTTATCAGTGGTGAGGGAACGTTATCCCAGTCTGACCCTGTAAGAGCGAGAGGATGCCACTGAGTCTCTTCAATTAACAGCGACAGTGTCAGATCCTAAAAGGTCTGCAGAACTCTCCCAGGGCTGAGCCACGTCCAGAACAACTTCAAGACCATTTTTTACACTGAAGTTTTTCTTGCTGTTGTCTTGATTGCTTTTTAAAACTTGACGGCAAAAGGATGAAGACCTGGAGAGGATACAGAGGGTTTGAGTAAAGGAAGATCCCTTCTCCATCTCCAGTAGGTCTTTGTGAATGTGCATAGAGCAGCACTGATGGGATCAAGCAGAGCTCCTTCCAACCCTTCTCAGCAGTAAAGGTGAGTTCATTAACAAAGAAGAAAGCTCTCCTGCAGATTGTGAGTGTGCATGCCTGCATTCACTGCCTGTGTGTGCAATCCTACATCAGCATAACCAACAGTAAGCCAGAGGACCATGTTGGGATTGCATTGCATTGTTTTGTTAGCAGACATCACATCACCGTGGGGCTGGTGGCACTGCCAGCATCCATGGGTTGGCATCACCCTAGAGAAACAGGGGCACGTGTCGTAGCAGAAAGGAAGAAATTCCTTCTTCACAGGTGGTGAGGCCCTGGCACTGCCCAGAGCTGTGGGTGCCCCAACCCTGCAAGTGCCTGAGGCCGTGGATGGGCCCTGGGCAGCCTGAGCAGGAGGGCACCCAGCCTACAGCAGGGGTCTGGGCACTGTGAGGTTCCTCCCAACCCAACCATTCTGTGGTTCTGTGATTGAGACATGAATTTGAGATTACAAGTTAAAAGGTAATGAGTATATTGTCAGGAAAAAAGTGAAATGGTGTTTTAATAGAGACTAAACACATACCTTAAAACAGTGTCATCTGAGGGCTGTGCACCAAAGATATTTAATCCAGTATGGCATTACATTTCCTATTTGACCTGATAAATGGGCTTTCTTCACCCTCTAATCTGCAGGGGAATTAAAGTCCCAGGCTATCTGTACTACTGCAAATAAATTATACGTTTATTTTAATCCCTTTGAAGTTTCCCCTCTGACAAATTGTAATGTTATAAATAATTTCAGAAGTCTTTCAGGAAGATAAAACAAGAGTTTAATAATCATAATTCACAAACCAAACATGACACTTGTGTTTAAATGGAAACACAGCACCGTTCTGCCAAAAGAAGGAAAGACAGAACCTGAAAAGCAGCACACTGGCCTTCTGCTAAGCAAGATGGGATCCAACTGGTGCCAAGGTGTGCAGCACATCCCCCGAGATGTCTGCATACAATTTCCAGATGTCCCCACACAAGATCTCCAGGCACTGCCCCTCCAGACACAGCCTTTGTATTTCAGCCCAAGGATGGATCACACAACCTCATGTCAGAGCCAACTTGTCAAAAACCATCAGCTCACCAACACGATGGGAAGGGCTGACTCACAAGGCACCTCTCCTGGGAAATGCTGCCACACCACCACCAGTGACCACTCTGTCTTTGCCTCACTGATGATGCCAAAGCCTCTGCTTTGAGAGAGGAACAGAAAAGCAGGGACAGCAGCTCCCTAATTGACCTCCAGATCTGTAAGATATGAGCTACTACACCTTGCTGAGAGATAGCAGTGGGAGCTGTTGGAGAGGGTCCAGAGGAGGGCCATGAAGATGGTCAGGGGGCTGGAGCACCTCCACTACAAAGACAGGCTGAGGGAGCTGGGCTTGTTCAGCATGGAGAAAAGAAGGCTGCGGAGTGACCTCATTGCAGCCTTCAGTACCTAAAGGGAGCCTACAAATAGGAGGGAATCAACTCTATGAAAGG